GCCCTTTTTTAAAGATAAAAGTCCAGGATATTTTGTATCTTAGCTGGATTCCTAAGGTATTAAAATGTGTTAAACAAGACCCTTCACTTTTGCTGGGCTAGCCCTCTGATGTCTCCCAACAGGGTGACCTCTGGCAGCTCTGTTCCACTCTCCACCTTGCTGAGCAGCTCCTTTAGTGAGCACCAGGTGATGTTGCCCCATGTGAACTGGGTAGATTCACTTAGAAATTTCTGCAGCTGCTCTTGGTACAAAGGCCTCCACTCTGGTGCCCCTTTTCAAAATCTCCAGCCATCTCAGTGCCCTGAACACCGATCTTTGCATCCTCAGCTCAGCAGGACTAACTTGCTCTTCTTGGAGCCGAGCGGCTACACTTCCTTTGAGGAACTGTCCTTGAGGAAAGAGCCAGTGAGTTTCCTTATCCCAAGGATTGTAGTCTTGTATTTCTTATAAAAGGTAGCCAGTAAATTTTACTTCTGCTGCTGCCCTGCCTTAGGAGGCAGTGGGTCAAGGGAAGCTAATGTGAGAGATACTCTAATCATTTACAACTCCTCCTTCCACACTTTAAGAAAATTCATAGGGAAGTTTGAGTTTCACTTGTTTTCTAACACTACGGAGGCTAACATTATGGAGGCTGCATTGCTACTGGATAGAGATTTCACTAGGCTGGTCCTTCTTGCTTCTCAATGCTTACATAAGAAAGGTGGGTCAACATTAGAAAGTCATACAGATTCAGTAAAAGGATTTTTTTTTAAATAAAGACTGGTTGTTTCTGAGTAAGAAAAGACAATGTTCATTCAGTAAACATTTTGTTAAGTGTGTACTTTAAGAACTGGATATTCAGAGAGAATCCGAGATGCAGCTTCTGCCATCAGGGCACACACAATCTGGAGAACCATTTGCAGTTTGCTGTATTAACCCCTGGTGCTAGTCTAACTGATCTCCTGGGGCAAAATTATACCCTCAAACTGCACTGCTGATTTCTCAGAAGCTGTGACTTTATGCTTGTAACATGTTTTTTTCCCCAGAGAGAATGCTTTTAAGTTAGCTTACTCAGAGATCTTTGTAGGGTTGTGCAAAGGGCCCCTGGGAATGAATGGGAAGGGAAGGTAGTTACCATTCTACAGTTCTCTTCTTGAATCTTCCTTTCTTTATTTGAAACAAAACATAAAATACTCAAAGAGCTGTGGTAGCTATGGGCAATTCCCAGAGAAGGGTTCTATTTCCAACAGTTCTGGGTCCCAGACAGGAATTTTAGTCTTTATTCCCATCTTCCCCGCCAGTCCAACCCATTCGCTTTCCACCATCTTGGGTCCTCAATCCCTTCTTTTCTTCAGGCCTCTCCAAGACCTACTCCCACCCCACCTCACAGCATCCTTTCCTGGATGCTTTGTTCCTTTCTGTTCACAGGCTGAGGACAGAAAAGATGCTGAAGAAGCCGGTGCTCTGAGCTCAGTCGTCTAAGAAGTGCTCAGGTTTTTGATGGAAAGGTTCATTGTTACCAGGAAAAAAAAAATCTTCTAATACCCAAATGTTCAGATTTATCTTATTACATTTGTGAAAGAAAAATTATCAAATTAAAAGTTAGTAAAATTCTGCTAAGATAAAAGGAATTACTAAAAACTGTACTCTTAGATTCTAAACTGAGTTGAGGTAAGACAGGTCTATCGGGTCTCCAAGGGCAGTGAGGTCTGGAGCCTGGATTTCAGTATCAATGGGGTATTTGAACAGCTGAGATGCTTCCTAAAGAACCTTGGGCATATTGCATTTAGTTTGGTGCTGGGATGAAGTGGGCAGCGAACCAGGGCTCCTGCCAGGCCCAGATGGTCCTGGTCCAGGCTGGTCACTTGGGCTCTTTCCTTCCTGACTGTGGTCCCAGGCACTTGGCCCAATTCCTACCGCTTTTCTAGGCTGCCCCACCCGGGGCAACCCTGAAGCAGTCAGTCTTATCCCTCAAGCATGGCTGTGGGGTAGAATATAATTTCTCCAGCTTCAGTCATTCCCGCTACCCCCTAAATGAATACCTCGTCTCTTTCAGACAATGGAAAATCCAGGAATAAAACTCACGCACACACACACACACACAGATGGTGAGTAACTCATATCTGAGGGTCTTCCAGAGCTTGTCCTGATGTACGGTTTCTTTCTCTGAGCTGGTATCTTATGGTAAGGGTTTCTTCTTTCTCATCTATTCTTTTTTTTTTAATCTTTTGTTTTCTTTTTCCTCCTCCCATCTATTCTTGGAGGAAGGAAAACAAGAACTGAATGCATCTGTGCTGAAAACTTTCACACACAACCCCACTTCACAGATAAGTGTGTTGAAACTCAGATATAAGTAGCTTGTTGCACAGTCAGTGGAACGACTGAAATTTGGACTGACTCTCTCAGACTTCTGTATATCCTGCAAATCTTCTTTTCTCTCAGATGTCATAGGTCATGGTATAAAAAATTTTTTTAAATGGAAAAAGCATTTTTTAACATACGAAATTTTATAGACTTTCCTACTGTATACAGTAGGTAAAAATCAGAGTTTCTCTCGTTGAAGCTGGAGCCTCATTTGGAAATCACTGGTCCAGGTCCCAAAGATTCCCTGCTCCCCACAGGCCCTCGGGGGTGAACAGGAAGGTGGATTGGGAGCTGATCATTCCACAGCAACAATTAGACCAGGAAACATAGTCTTTGGTCTCAACAGTCGCTTACTTCTTTGGAGAATTTCAGGTGACCTTTGTTTTCCATGTCCCTAAGGGCTCTGGTGACCCTGCCGTGGACAACCTTCAGTTTTGTCGGTGTCCGCGTGACACGACTTCCAGAGCTACACGTGACAATCCGTCTTTAACTGAGCGACCCACCGTGATCAGCCCTTGTGAGAAGCATCAGCGGAAACTGAAAGCAGAGGTCCTGCTGTTCCGGAAGGCCAGGACCCCGAGAGATCACGGCTTAAGTTTCCTTCCAATGCAGCCGAACGGGGCTGTGAAAAACCAGAGGTGGTTATGTTTTTGTTGTGTGCGTGTGTCATCTTTATGCTGCCTTCTAAGCGCTCTGGCCAAAGTGGATGTCATATTCTGTCCTGGGCACGGCCTCTGAGCGCTCAGCCCGGGCCAAGCACCAGGCAGGTGATCGGAGAGCCAGGAAACGAGCCAGCTGATCTGAAGCACATGACATCAGACGTGTCCCGAGGTGGCAAGGAAGGCCTCCTTGCTAGAAAGCAGGGAGGATTTTGGCTCTGAGAGATTGGATTCAGTAACTTCACCTCCTCGGCTTGGAGCCAGCCCTCTTGCCAGCAGCTCTCATATGGTCTACAAAAAGTCCAGACCCAAAGTCCCCGATCCCTGCCTTACGTGTTGACGTCACAGCCTGCCTTGAGAGATCTATCACCTTGCTGGGGTCAGAGAGAGCTTTAAAGAAAGGGGAGATAGCACAAAATCTGATTGAAGATTTTATGAGTTTAAAAAAATCTTACTAACTTTTCTAACTTTAAATTTGGGGAGCAATGTTGACTCTGTAGTGGAAAATTGTAAACCCCGAATCAGAACGCTGTCCATCCATCACTTTCCTTTCTTTAAGTTAAATAAAACCATATAATGGGTAGGGGTGGCTATACTGGTGTTCAACATTAAATTTATAAATGAGAGCCTAGTAGTCGTTTCCCAATTAACTTCAGAAATTGGTTTTTGCAGTCAAGGAATTTGATCTCAAGAGCACTTGAAGTTAAATATTTTTTTTTATTCCATACTCTCCAGCTCTTTCTTTGCACCGTGTTGGCTACTATGAACTGCACGTGCTAATGGCTCCACGTTCAGGACCCTGCAGCACCTCTCAGATGATTAAAACAAAACCCCACACACCTTAATTAATTATACAGAGGCCCTGGCTGTCTCCCCTCTGAATTCTTAAAGTTGAATCCTGGGGTGGAAATTAAACTGGTTAGAGGAGCCCAGAGGGTACATGAAAGAATAAAAGACAAAGCACCTTGATGGGATTTGTCGCATCTGATACCCTTTTCACCCACAAACTAGGGAGCTATTCCCAGGGAAATCCACAGTTCACTAACCGAGACCCAAGAGAGAGAAATCCCAAAGTCATCTGTTGGTACTAAAACCCAAGTCTTCTGAAAGATTGACCCTTTTCCCATCATAAACTCTCCAATTTCAGGAGCACCAGGGCACTAGCGGACAGTGATGGCTGCAGGAACCCCTGAAGGAGTGAATGATCTGGTCAAGGGCATTGGTGTCTTCTGGTTTTGGAAAGTTGATCTGGGACTATTTGATCCCTACCTCAAACAGGTGCTTAAGAAAATCATAAAATATTTAGAAGTGCTTTAAGTTTCAGGAAAGTAACGTTCCAGGCGGCAGAAATGGGAAATGTGTTTCAGGTACCAGCTCGCGTCTCCTCGACTCCCCCAAGGTGGCCCACTTCATCCCGGCCTGGCTGCGTGTGAACACCTAAGGATGTCACACGTACACTTGCCACCTTTCTGTAGCCATGTGTGTTGCTGAGAACAGAGTGATACATTATTCACATGTCCAAGAAGGAGTTTAAAGGGGTGAGAGTGAGAAGAGAAGGAGGTGGCAGCAGGGAGGCGAGAAGGGGAGGAAGGGGGGCAAGTGAAAGCTGACAACGCCGGGGAGCCCAAGCTGTTAACCTGCGGAGTCTGGATCTCCTCTGCCGTTCCTCCCACAAGGCGAACCTGAGACTTGCTGGCCAGCTCTTGTAGAGAACTGTGCCAAGCTCCGCCGTGGCCAGGCCGTCTCGGTGACAAGAGACGGTGGGGAGCAGAGCTGTTCACTTGGCATCCTTCGCCATCACTAAGGTCACTGATCAGATATGAAACTGATCCCACACACATGGCTTCATGAAGATGCTCAGGGAAGAAGGAAGCCAGAGCAAGGGGCAGTGATCAGACACCCAGAGGCACAGCCTCCTGAAACACACCCAGGAGGGCTCAGGCCAGCCACGCTGCCACAGTGAAGCAGCCAGCTTGTGTTTACTTTCAACGCAAAACGTTTTCCTTTGTGTATCGTCCCATCACCTCTTATTTCTCAGGAAGTGACACAAAGCAACAGGCTTCACGATGCCATCAGTGTCCGGTTTGTCAGCGTTCATGTCACACTACACAAGCAGGTACTGTAACTATACAAAATGCAGAGAATAAAATGTTACTAGTTACATGGGTTAAAATGAAACTGACAGCCCCAAAGAAAATGAAACAGAAAGAAAGCTGTCGGAATCCACAGAGACCCTTGACAATATTACCAAAAAACCCAAAACAAACAAACAAAAAAACCTAGCCAAATAGTTGTCCTAGCATGCTTCAGTTCATTGCCATAACTTCGTAAGTTCCCAGCTCTTCGGGGGAAAGAAGGTGCATGTTCACAGCCTACAGTTCGCAAAGAAATAGCTTTTACACGTATGCAGGTCAACGGAAAACAAAACAAGAATGCAAACTCTAGGCACCAAGATTGCTCAGACAGCAACGAAGTCTAAAGAGCCTGACTTCAAAGTCTTCTGAACCAGAGCTGGTTTGTTGAAAAAAAGTCTGGACATCGACATTAGTCTAAGAGGGCCCAGGACGACACACTGAATTGTTAATAAGGGGAGGAAAAAAAAAAAACATCAAGAACTAGAACAATTAAGACTTAAATATTTTTCCTACTCTATGTTGAAGCTGAATCCAGCTTTTCGTATTTGGAAAAGATGCGCAGTTGGTCTGCGGGGAGCAGCCCTCTCTGTTCCCCCAGCCACCCTCTCCGCTTCTGACCCGGTGGCCGATGGCAGAGGACAGGTCGCACTGGGTGGATTTCCTTGAAGCAGAATTACCATTTCTTCGTGAATGGCCATTTCTCTTTTTAACAATGAGGTATAATCTGACACTAACAATGCCTGTGCCGTCTTGGGCTACTAACTTGATCAACAGTGTGGGCAGAAAACACTCCAGCGTTCTGGTGAAGTCACACACATACAAAAATTATTGCACTTAAAAACAACAACAACAAACTCAGCCCGACCAGTAAAGGGCCAGTGAAACTCTTCGCAGGTGCTGCCCTTCCTGCCCTTTGCGGAGCGTGTGGACCTTTCTGGAGTCCGGTTGAACTTGGTCCGTTACTGAATGTCCAGAAGTGAGAGAGTCCAAAAGACACTGTAGGCTCTTTAAGGCTAAGTCTTCCGGTGCTTCTATGAGAGAAATGATTTCCTTGGCCACGTACTACAAAGCAGGGCTCTTTTTAACAAATGGCTAATAGGGCCCCCAAACCACGCTGGAAGCAAGGTGGATGGGTGCTCATCACATCCTGTCCTGTGAATAAGAGAGAGAGACGCGGTAAGCAGCCGGGGAGAGCAGATCCGCTCAGCAACAGCTCTGTGGCTGAAGTACAGCCATCTCCCCCTGACGCCACCACCAGCTCTCATTACACTCAGCCCCACGGCCCATGTGGACGTGGGTTCCCTGTGTGCCTTCCTCTGTGCAAGTCCTCCTCTCTGTGGCTCTGAATGCCCTTCCCTCCACCTACACATTTGTCTGTCTGTCTTTCTTTATTCTTCATCCTCTGCCTCTTCATGCTTTCAGTCTCTGTTCGTTGATGGATGTAAAGGTAAAGCACTAATCCTGTCCTGGTACCACTGACCCATATCTTCCCATATTTCTTCCACAACATACCCCTGTCCTCTCCCCACACTGTCAATGCCCCCCTCCTCCGCCAGCCTCAATATGTTCAAACACCTTCCATGCTAGGTTTATTGAACTGAATTAGATTATCCTTTACTTCAGCCAAGATTACTTACACCTCCAAAATCTGATCTCCTAGTGAAAATGTGAGCACAAAGCATTGGTTATGTTATGAATTTTTTTCCCATGAAGCAATCAAGTAAGTGCTCGGATAACAGATGAGATCAAGGATTTCAAAACTCTGCTCTCCTGAGACTATTGGCAGCATTGTTTTTCTCCTTCGAGATGTCTACTTCAGCTCATGTCTTCTTTCTAACCCCTTGCATGATGCTTGTAATCAATAAAATAGTTGCATAAAATATCTAGATAAATAGAGTTGGATGGTACTATCCTGATATTGCAGGCACAGATCCAACATCAGAAGAATCCTGGGTTCAGGGTGGAGGGGATGGAGGGCAGGTCTTCAGGAGCTGCCGAAGCCCCTGCAGACCACACCCACCAACCAGGGCGCACTGACGCGCTATCTGCTTCCATATTTGTCTCTCCCTACGACCACCTCCCTGTGACCACCTCTGTGGGGACAGAGTCTGCACAAATGGCTGCTGCTGCCTTTGGTTGTACCCCTCACGCCCTCTGCCATTGTTCCAAGTCCAGGTGCCTGTGACGGGCTCTCCTCTACTTACTGCTCCGGACTCTGAACTAGGACTTGCTGACGTTCTCATAGATGACGTCACTGATGCAGAACTGCTGCTTCTTCTTCGTCCACATCAGCTGCACGCACTGATGGATGAAAATGTACTGCTCCTGCGCAACAGGAAAAACACGTTTTAGAGCAAGGTATCTTTGTGCGAATGTGTGCAAAAATGTAATATTTTAATACTTTGGCATTATTAAATACTATGACGTGATGTCAAATAATTCTTATTTATGAAACACAATTTTGTAACTGGGAAATCCACTGAGAATCAACTGTAAAAATATTCTGATTAGTAATAGAGCTTAGACCATCATGACTTAATGCTAAAGACAGTGAATATTCAAACAACTCATCAGGGGCTATTTTGAAAAAAAAAAGTGCATCACCTCATAATACACTGAAAAAAATTCTAGGAAATTTAATAAATTATAAAAATATAAAGGAAAAAAATACAGGTTCATTCCTCTCTGATTACTTTAAGGAAGGATTTTTCTAAACGTTCAACAATGAAATAAATTACAAATAAAATTTTCAAACTATTGTATGTAAAAAGCAGTTAAAAAAAAAGAATAAAATAAAGGGCAAACCAGAAACTGAGAGGAACAAATATTTTCTACAATTACAATGAATGTCGACACCCTTATTTTGGTTTAGAAGTCATCGAAATCAGTAACATGCACACTTAAATTGACAAGTAAATAAAATACGCCAACCACTAGACCAAAGGTCCCAGGAAGGCAAGGACTGTGTCTTTTGATTCCTAATGCCTAACACTTAGTTTGTGCTTATTTAATGTTTTTTTAAAGTAAGCTGGGGAAATATTAAAACATATGCAAAAAATGGCCAAGTAATAAAAAATGTAAATTAAAGCAATTGTTTTTCATCTACGTGGCAAAGCTAAAGGAAAAAGTAACATTCCGTGAAGCGTTGAGTCTGTTGAAGCAGTCATTTTCACCTATTGTTGGTGGAGGTACAATTCATAAAATGCTAATAAATGACACTGTGGACAGATAAAAGTAAGCAAGTAGAAAATGATCCAATTTAATGTTCTATTAAAAAGGAGGATGTTTTAAGTAAGCAACGGCGTATCTAAAATGAAACATTATTCAGTCTTTAAAACAAGATTTATAGAGTTTTAGGCAATTTGGGATGATCCCCTTAGCACAATGCCGAGTGAAAACAGAATGCAAAATTAGCATATGCGTATAGAGCATTTGAGCTCCATTGTGTGAAAATTGTGCTTGCATGAAGGTCGAGTTGAGATCAGCCAAAATACTGAGGGTAGCTGTCTTTATGCCCTGAAGTCAAGGTCATTGCATGATTTCCTTTTTCCTCATTTCCCTGAGTTTCTCTCTAAGTAATACCATGATAAATAACCTTCAAATAAGAACCATTTAAGATAGTCACACGGGATTTCAAGGAGCCTTTTGTGTGACACCCTCACACAAAGGATGAGGTTAGGTACTTCACACTTCCCTGGGTGGATACCCAGCCTCATTGTATTTTTCAACAAAATTTGGAGAAAATGTTTTCCCTTACTTTGTGACAATGTCACACCAGTAGCTGAGCGTCTCCTTCTTGTCGTGACATGTCCCTCCATGGTTTCTGGCTCTGCGTGAAGCAGGGGGCACCGATAAGATTTCTCAACCTGTAACTGCGCAGTGGCCAAACTTTGTGTCCAAAAAAAAAAAAATTGTAGCTAGGCCACAGAAAAAGTAAATAAAAGCCTATTTACAGACACATCTCTGCGCGTTCCTGAGAAATCTAAGCCGCGGATCAGGAGGGCTGGCCACTCAAAGCAAGGCCCTAACTGACCTCCAGGGAAAGCCTGTTAGAGGAGAACTAAAGAAAGCCTTGATGAAAACAGCAGAGCGTGCAGGGGAGGCGAAGACCATCCGCACGTGGCACTTGACAGCTTCAGAGCACTTGTCTAGATGAGCTCAGTTCACTGGGTGTGCACTTCACAACGAACAGTTCATGAATGTTGTCGTTCACACATCACAGAGGAGGGACGGGAGCTCTGAGAGGTGAGGCGAGTTGTGCAGTGGTGGTGCTGGGACCCGGGCCTCTCGTGGGGTCAGGCCTGAGGATCCTGCTGTCTGACTACCCCTTGCTGCCCTCATGCAGAGGTCCACACAGCCTGCCTGGTCAGCCGAGAAAGGGGAGGAGGGCGTGTCAAAATCCAGCCCATGCATTGTGTTGCAGGGACCTGAAATGTGCATCTGAGGATGTGGTCAAATTAATCCGTGACTTCTGCTGTTTGGAGAGAGGGGTGGGGTGGTAGGATCAGGGTGATGGGGCAGCCTAGAGGACGTAGGAAAATGAGAAACCAGCATGGGCAGTCACCTGCTACACTATATGCTGTGATTTCTATACACGTATAGACTCAGAAATCAACTGGAGACTCATTCTGGCCTCTTGAAAATCATTAGTGTCAAAGAGGTGCTCTGGGATGCTGAAGCTGAAGAAAATACTTTTTTTTACTCTGCTCTTTTCTTATGAACCATCAGTAAACTAGGAGGCGGCAGGGCAAGCGTGTGAACGGGCTCGAGGAGGATGTTAGGAAAATCCTAACACTCAAAATACAGGTCGAACCACAAAGAGCACAGGAAGGAGGGACAACAGAGGTAAATAAACGGACAAGACGTTCCAGACATAACTTAGAAAAACCAGCACAAATAAATAACTGGAGAGGATCACTGCAAAGTCCTGAGGGAACTCAAGAGTGAACCGTAACAGCTGGGAAAAACGAGTAAACTGTAGTGACCTCCGCCTCTTCTGCTGACTTTGAATTTTCCCCTGAGAGTCCAGGGAAGGGATATCATACTTTAAAAAAGACTGTGTCCCTGGAGATGTCAACCTAAAATGCTACCGTAAACAAAGAAGCAAGCAGAATTTGGGGAAAGAAAGTTGGGGCGAGAACAAAACTGGTTCTCAGCTTGGCAGAAAGTCACATGGTGGCCGCCCTAGTTTCATGGGATCATCCAACCTGAAGGAAGATAATGGCGCTGAAAATTGGATGGAGGGTCTGTCATGTGAAGGTGGTTTTTTAAAGGGGATTAAGATTCTGTAGCTGGAATGAATGGTGAAAGCAAACAGGCTATAATCAAAGCCTATAAAGTTATAAAGGTTTTAATTAAGCCAATGGGGGCAGACAATTCATCAAATCCAAAATACTTGAAATAAGGAGTGGCTGAGAGCTTCAAAGGAAGCTCGGGGATTAACATACATAATGGGGAGTTTTAATCATATAGTAGGTTATAGATTTATGGAAGTGAAAGCCAAAAAATACGGACGGATTCACAAAGCACTGTCTAATCACTAGGTAGTGGGCTTCTCTGGGAAACCAGGACATTTTAAACTTATAACAAGTTCATGTCCCCAGAGCAGTCGGTTAGAAGGCAGCAGGACTGGCATGGGTGGGCTGCCATACTAAGGAAGGGAGGACGCTGTTACAGGACTTGATCCTAATCACCCATGAGCCGTCTGAATGGGGAATGAGTTACTCTTCCCAAAGTGCTGTGATCTTGCTGTAGCTCAGAAGAAAACCTTTGGACCGGTTGTGCCCAGCCGTGGTCAGAAGGGAATGGGGCGGTGAGGGAGAAATGTAAAAAGGGTGGGAAAGGGGAACCGGAAGCATGGACAGACAGCAGCCATTACTGCAGGCTTTTGAGTCGCACTGCCATCTAGTGGTGGCTGGTGGGAAAAGCCGGAGGAAGATGAAGGCACTTTTTTTTTTTTAACCCCCTGGGAATTGAGTCAGAGGTCAGGCCAGGTTGTGCTGTATCCCACCAGCGTTCCTCCCACACACGCTTCTTGAGAAGAAGGATTAGTGTTCACCTAAAGCTAAGAAGTTGGGAGTACGGCTGGGTGACCGGGGTTGCGAAGAAGCTATGTGCTTAGGTTTGGAGCGCACACAGGCGTACGGGGTGCACTGCTGGGCTGATGCCGTCTGCAGGCCCCGGCCCCGGGGGTTGCCACTCCAGCCTGGGTGCGTTCTAAAGCTTCAAGGGAGGAGAGGACTTGGGAGAAGAGAGGAGGAGGCGCACGTAACACTGGCAGATGTTTCTGGGGATGCCTTCACATTGTTACAATGATGAGTCCACTCTAAATCAAGGAAACTGGTGGCGCTGGTAGATTGGGGACTGAAAATCCTTAAAATCAAACGGGGGACAGAAAGCATAAATCCAACCCATGTTATTATCAAAAGTGAACTGGGATAGAGAATCCCCCGGGGGACAAACTTTTAAACAGAAATTAAATCACATCAACTCCATACCAGATTTGGTGGCATTTACTCGGATGCACTGTTACCTTCACCAAACTCTTAGTCTATTCAAAGAGCTTTATTCCATTATAGATACATCCATGTGTTCTGTATTACTGAAGGGCGTATGACACCAATAAAAGTGCAGGCACTATAAACCGAATGGATTTTCAGAGGTAGTATGTTTCTTTCATACCTTAGAGTAATTTGAATGCACACAATAAGAATGACAGATGGAAAATAATTTCATAGTGATGGTTTTGAAATATGAGATTGAATAATGGAACGTTTTCCCATCAAGGGCAAATTTCAAAATACATATGATTACGTTCCTACCTCTGTCTGTACCATGGACATCCGGTATGACCTCATTTCTGACACCAGCCCAAGGATGTCCACAAACTCATGATCCCGAATGTGCTGCAGGAGCCGGTCCAGGGCAATGAACGTTCCTGTCCGCCCGACTCCAGCACTGAAAAAGAGGTCCCAACAGTACGTTATTCAGGAAGTGCTTCTATACTGTTGGAAACTAATCGGCCATTCATTAAAAACAAAAAGCCAACAGGTAGCATCACTGAGAAAAAAGACTAAACTGACAATATTTTCCACTTAGCTGATTTTTAAGTATGCTTTGTGGTTGGTGTGTCTCCTAATGGCACAGTTCTGACTCTCACTGCCACCTCCCTTTAAGAGGTATGGGTCTACACTGCCTTCGCCACACCGGCCCCTCCTGCCCCGGGCTCTGTA